TGGACTTCAATGGGAACCAAAAGATAAATAAGGGTCTTATCAAGCGAAACAATCGGTCATTTCCAAAATAAATAACAAAGTTTAAGTTTTATAAGGTCAAATGGTCGCCTTGCTCTGTTCTGTGATGCGCGTTCGTGACTCTCCTGTTCGAACTCGTTTATCAGAATGAACTAATCTTTTTCCGAGTTGATTTCGAACCAACTGACACGAAAAAAGATTTGTTCATTCTGATAAACGAGTTCGAACAGGAGAGTCACGAAGGTGCATGACTTGAACTGTCTTTTGGACCTTGAACCGTTTGGTTCCTATTGAAGTCCATTATATGGAGAAAAATCCTGAACGTTCAAAAACCTTAATTTCTTTTCGACTGAAGAAAGAATGACATGGATATCTTGGATGACATGGGGGTGAGTAAATTATCAGCAAAAGTTATTTAAAGTGAACTACTCTTTTTATGCTCATGATACCCAATGTGTCTGGTAGAGTAAAAAGAGGATTGTGGGTGGGGAAAAAGAGTGGAGAATACACTGTTGACTAGCTTGTGTCTGAATCGCCATTCACTATTTCTTACATTACTCAACCAATATAGTTCACAGTATAGGAGTGAATGACAACGAGTGAGTGAATTCGGACTCTGAGTGCGCCGAAAGCCCTGCCGCTTTTGCATAGTTTGTGCTCGCTGTTTAATAACATTTGGCAAAGATACAGCTCCAGTTGTAATTAAAATATTTATCCTGAACTCTGTCATGGAAACTAGCATGTATAAACCACAATTAAACAATAATAAATTAAAAAGGAATTTATGTCTGTATGATATTACGCTTTAGCCACATTGGACCAGCAGTTTGTAAAATGGATGGATGGATGATTCAGCTGTCGGCTACATCTTTTGGTCAGACGTGGGAATTCATTGGGCGCGTGACTCACAGTGCATTATGGGTATGTTCTAGCCTTTGAGCGAACATCTGTTGTGCATTTGTTATTGAGGTGGATTGTGGGATTGAATGAGTGCACTCAATAATATCCACTGTGGTTTTTGGACACAACCATAAATGGTTGTTCCCTCAAATTGTGCCCTATTTAAGGGTATAGGGCCGATTTCCGACACCAGCTTGGCCGAAAAGTGCAGCCAGTGCAAGATTAAACAAACACAAATTCACACAACTACACTATGAATTCCAAGAAATTCTGAAAATGGTGCCAATCTCACATGTGTTTTTACTTTAAATAAGTTATGTATGATATATGGTTATCGCCGTATGCTGATATTGGGGATTTTTAAAGGTTTTGTTCAGCGTTGGACATTTAATTGTGCTTAATATTTTTACATTGGGGTATTTTTTATAGAATTTATTAAAATTGGTAAATGTAATTTTTAGCAAATCTCAAAATGAAAATTAATTTTACTACTGTAAATATAGAATTTTTCAATATTGTCTTTTATGACCTAGAACATGAAAATAATTATCGATTTATTATCAATAAATCACACTGATTGTCATATTTAAATCTCATTAACTCAAAACTCAGATAATCTTATTGCTGGTAATATGCATTTTTATTTTAATGGGCAGTATACAGATATCTAGAAAGTAGGGTGACCAATGTCCATTTTAATACTATTATATATTATGTAATACAACTTTATGATGACAACTGAGATGTGTAAAATAAGTATTCACCAATTTTGTTAACAATTAAAGGGGTAGTTCACCCAAAAAATCTTTTGATTCTGTCACAATTTTCCTCCGTTGTTCCAAACCAGATTTACTTTCTTTCAAAAGAAAGTAAGTCGTACAGGTTTGGAAAATGACACGAGGGTAAACTCAGTAAATGATGACAGAATTTAAATTTTGGGTGAACTGTCCCTTTAAATTCACTGTTGTAAGCAAATGCGTATCTGTGAACAAGGTTGTCAGTTGATTTTGAAGTTTGAACTAAGACTGTTTGAGATTATCAGATAAAATTGTTAGCCTAATTGGCCAAACTGTCTGTAGATCTATTCAACCCCAAGTCTTCCTGGTCTTAGTGAAATAATGTGTATGTGTGTGTGAGAGAGAGACCACCATGGTAGACCACCTGTTTGTGTACTTGTGGACCACCTCTCCCCGTAATGGGTCTCTGGTAGGCAGCAGCTCTGGGGCCCCTTAGTGAATTCAGGCCCTAAGGAACCTTGCCAATCCTATGTGTGATTTACGGAGTGTGTGTGTGTGTGTGGATTGATCCATGTGTGTGTGACTATATGCAGGTCTTCTTGTTTCGCCTCTTCAGGGGCTTTTTGCCTGCACGGGTCATATGCACATGCACAAAACTCCTTTATCTTGGCATAGGAACAGCGCGGTGACTAATAATGTGTGTGTGTGTGTATGGCAGAAAGCTGTGGGGTCTTCTCACAGTAGTTAAATCAATGCTAATGAAACACTTTAGCTGAGGTGCGGGCCGAGCTGAAAGCTTTAAACAATGAACTGAGACGGAACGACACACCTACATCCTACCTGCACTCCAAAAACTCTAGCGTTCAGATGCCGACCGAAACCAACCCCACACTGGCCCATATAATGCCATCGTCTGTGCTGTACAATGAAGCATCATGTTTTTGGACAATTCACATTTTATGACAAAATGACCACCTCATGTTTTCTTGATCAGAAAGTTACCCAGTTCTCTATCTCATGAAAAAAAAAACTTAAATTTATAAAAATTTTAGGGAAGAAAATGGGGCATAAACAGAATATAAATGTATGTACAAATGTACAAAAACATGAATGGAATTGTACAAATTTGAAAATGAAACAGCTTCTCAAACATAAAAAAAAGATTTTGTTAATCGGAAGTTGATGAGTTGAATGGTTGTATTTTGCTTTAGAGTGGATCAGTTGGGTTCCTGAAGTAAAAACACATTTTCTCCATAAGGAAATTGACTTTGATCGATAACTTATTAACCTTATGTGAGCTACGAGGTTGTTAAAGGTTAAACTCTTGGCTTACTCTGCTGTCTCAGACGACGAGCCCTTAGTGGAACTCGCTACCGAACCGCTTATTTGTCGCTAAAAGTTACACACTGCACCTTTAATCCATCATGGCATTTGCCTCTGCTGAAGCCATCTAACTGCTTTATTTCAGCTTTTTTTTTATAATCATGTTTAACAGCTGAATTCCTTGTGAAAAAATACATTACCCATGATGCTGTACAGAATTAAACCAATCAGAAAGTCTAAATAGCTCTCTAGCTCCGCCCACTCCAATGAAGCACTGCTAATGACATAATTGAGTTGATAAATGTTAAAAAAAAAAATGTTTTGCTCAAAATCAAAGTGTCATGATTCACCTAGCTGATTGACATGATTCGTGGCTTTTATCTTTTTAACTGTTTTGAAAAATGAATGGAAAAAGTGGGCGGGTAGCCTACTGTTGCACTCTTTTGCAGTGATGTCATGTGAGTGACAGGTTTTCCCGCCCTCGCGCCAGTAAATACGTCATTAGAGGTGTCGCTGCAAGTGGTAGGCGAAGTTGTCCTGAAAATAGATTAAAGAGGGCACATAACTGAACAGACAAATTTAATGCGAGATCTGATCAAATATTCGTGCCGAACATTTGTGTGAGTGTGACTGAACCTTTACCCACAAATTATTTAAAACTTTAAAAACCGTTGCATAACAACCAGGTGGCATGTCTATGCCTGCGTAGCTAATTATGAGGTGGCAGGGCAGAGCCACGGTATGTGTGATGCCATGCTGGCCGCCGGAATCGCAGGTCTCACACGCCGGGGTGCCGCATGGTGTCGGGGAGCTGAGACAAATATGGTTCGGGTTAAACGGGGCAGAAAGAAATGTTTACTCACAGCAGAAGCATAAAAAGAGGCATTGAGACGCATCACGGGGGTGCTCAGGGGAGGCTCATTAGATGAAACCGTGTTTTGGCAATGCTTGCGGTTAATGGTGTTGGAGAATGCCCTGAGAGACAGGCATCTGAAAAACATTAGCCTACCCTGGCAGAGCCGCTGGTATGCGGGCACCGCCGACCACAGAAGGGACGTTAAGCGGATTTTTGCTCTTGTAGGCAATGGAACGCAGTTTGGTGACGTTTTAGCTGGGCAATGTGTTCGAATGGAATCTTAAAATAATGACAAGCCAGTGTACTTACTTAACCTAGAATATTTGAAGAAATAATTGTATTATACACATTCGCCACAAGGTGGCAGCGTAGTCCACAGTGGAGCATCAGGCAGGGATGCTTCGTGAGTGCATTGACCACATAATAAAGAGGCCGTTTTGACAGAACAGACCCAAAACAGCAGATATCATCGTTTTTGAAGTCGACTCTTCAATATTCATAACTAAAACCAAGACAAAATCTATCTTTCCCCTTTGGGCATTTGGATCCAGTTGGAGGTTGATCTGGGTGGCCCTGGAGTGCAGAAAATGAGCACATCTGGGAGGAATGGCAGGCAGAGAGCTAGTTGAGTGTGGTGTGACACTAACCAAATGGCTGTCTTAAGTTTTACCAAACAGCTATTGGATACGCTCTTCATAGCCCAGTCCAGTCTCTCTCTCATGCATACGCTCTGGGAAACGCTGATTTATTCTGCCGCTAAGCAGAGTTTAATGAAAAAAACTTGATTAATGGAGCTAATTGCCATCTGCAAGTGATTGTGGACATGTTGTGTGGCAGAATCTAGTATTGAGTTTGAAAGTCAATGACTTTAACAATAAAGTGAGTAATAGCTTCATTCTGGCAATGACACGTAAGCTTCCATAAACTCACTGACTCTTGATGCCACAAAATGACTCTGGGGTGAGTGACACAGATTCAAACAGGTAAACAGTGCTGTCACATGAAGAGTTTTATGCTTTTTGTGAATGTTGTTCACATATATTTTCATGGTAGGCTACACTGAAAACCAAAAAGCCTCAAAGTGCTCTTGTTTGTTCTTTTGTGGTGTGTTTGTTTTTATCCGTGTCAGTCTAGTTGTGAATTATTTATCTCTCTGTTTGGTTTAGATACAGATCCTCGTGTGTTGGAGAAACAGGAACTGCAGCAGCCCACATACGTCGCCCTCAGCTACATTAATAGGTACAGTACTATGCCTATATATGGTATTATTAATATATACTGTATATAAGAGAAATATACACATGAATGTACATATACATTATGCACACACAGATACATAAACATGCATACACACACACACATATATATATATATATATATATATATATTTACATATATGTAAAAGTTGTGTATTTTTATTTCATATTTCATAGATAAAGAGAATTTTCATTTTCCCTTTAGAACACTTACTAACAGAGTTACAATAGAGTAAAATTCCTATTGTCAAATATTTCTGAATAAATATTGTATTTTTTGGCAAACAGCAAATTTTATTTGGATTATTTTTTGTACTTTATTGTCCACAATGTATAAAATTTATTTTGGAAAAACATAAACATGTTTTATAAACAAAATACAAATGTAAAGAAGATAAAACATAGTATGAAATGGTGTGCATTAAAATATTAAAGAAGCATAAAAAATTTACATATAGAAAAAAATTTGATTAATCAGTTAATTAATAGACTTTACTAATTTGTAGTAATTGGGTTTTTCAACCTTGAAACTTACTGTTAAGCAGCCAAATAACAAAGATGATTCCCGTCATCATATATGTGAGCAGTCTAACATTTTTCTTAATGGGATTCTGTATTTTCTGGGAAATGGCCGTGTGGTCAAGTCTCCACTACATCCGCTAAGGTCAGTTTATGAAGCTATAATGAACTTCAAACCAGCACCCAAATTCTCTTCATATACACTCAGTTCCACTCAACTCAGTTGAATGTGGTTTGTGTAGGAATACTCAGAGCTCCAGTGTTAAAAACAGCTTTAATAGTCTGAATGGTGGTGGAAATTCTTGCGTAATGGAGACACTTTTTTCCTTGTATTACTGCTTTAAGTGGCTTCTAATGGTAATCTGTTAATTCCACACCTGCCTTAATAATATTTGTGTGAACATTTATGCTTAATTACATAAATTTACTGACAGTATTATAATGCAACAAAATAACTTGGAGCAAACAAGGTGTTATGAGATGGATTTTAGACCCCATTAAATCAGCTGAATCACAACAAAACTCACCTAAAGGATTATTAGGAACACCTGTTCAATTTATCATTAAGAAAGATCAACTTTGACTGAAATAACCACTTGTTACAACCAAGGTATGCAGCAAAGCATTTGTGAAGCCACAACACACAAAACCTTGATGGGCTACAACAGCAGAAGACCCAACCGGGCACCACTCATCTCCACTACAAATAGGAAAAAGCAAAATTGGACAGTTGAAGACTGGAAAAATGTTGCCTGGTCTGATGAGTCTCGATTTCTGAAGAGACATTCAGATGGTAGAGTCAGAATTTGGTGTAAGCAGAATGAGAACATGGATCCATCATGCCTTGTTACCACTGTGCAGGCTGGTGGTGGTGATGTAATGGTGTGGGGGATGTTTTCTTGGCACACTTTAGACCCCTTAGTGCATATTGGGCATCGTTTAAATGCCACGGCCAACCTGTGCATTGTGTCTAACCATGTTCATCCCTTTATGGCCACCATGTACCCATCCACTGATGGCTACTTCCAGCAGGATAATGTCACAAAGCTTGAATCATTTCAAATTGGATTCTTGAACATCACAATGAGTTCACTGTACTAAAATGCCCCCACAGTCACCAGATCTCAACCCAATAGAGCATCTTTGGGATGTGGTGGAGCGGGAGCTTCGTGCCCTTGATGTGCATCCCACAAATCTCCATCAACTGCAAGATGCTATCCTATCAATATGGGCCAACATTTCTAAAGAATGCTTTCAGCACCTTGTTGAATCAATGCCACGTAGAATTAAGGCAGTTCTGAAGGTGAAAGCGGGTCAAACACAGTATTAGTATGGTGTTCCTAATAATCTTTTAGGTGAGTGTATATGACAGATGGTTCATTTGTATTGAAGAAAGCTGTAGCAGGTTGTACCAGTATTTTGGAATTAAGAGAAAATATTTCATTTTAACTTTATGTTCCTATTGTATATGGACACAGTACATCACTTGTTGGAAAGAATTGTGGGTCGTTGCTCACAGAACAAGTTCTTGCATTCAGACACAGATGAATGCAGCTGATCCAATGGAACAGAATGCAGATGTCTTAAGACATGTTTATTAAAGTTGAACCAAGACCAGTTTTAACTTGAAACAGACTCTTCCAGTCTAACAGCAAGGACGCCCGTCTGATACATTTACACAACTATTCAAAAGTTTCAGATTTGAACGATTTGTCAATGTTTTTGCAATAAGACTCTGATGCCAACCAAGGCTGCATTTATTTGATCTTAAATACAGTAAAAACTAGTGCTGTGACAAGATATAGTGCCACAATATTAAAACGTGACGATATTTCTCTTGGAGGTGAAAAGCTGTCTGGTGATATCAGCATATTAAAACCACTTAAAGGGATACTCCACTTTTTTTTGGAAATAGGCTCATTTTACCATTCCCCCAGAGTTAAACAGTTGGGTTTTACCGTTTTCGAATGTATTCAGACGATTTTCTGATATTTAGAAGAATATCAGTAACCAGACAGTTTCTGGTCTCATTGACTTCCATATTATTTCCTACTATGGAAGTCAATGGGACCAGAAACTGTCTGGTTACTGATATTCTTCTAAATATCAGAAAATCGGCTGAATGCATTTAAAAATGGTAAAACCCAACTGTTTAACTCTGGGGGAATGGTAAAATGAGCCTATTTCCAAAAAAAAAGTGGAGTATCCCTTTAAAAATTATAATATAGCAGTGCTATTGTGAAATCACAAAAGCTGCGATTGAATTAAATAAACATGCGCTACAGGTAAAGCGATTATATGCTTTTGATAATTTTCCTCCTTGTTATATGTATTTCAAGTCATTTTAAAGTCTATTGTTCACTTAGGTCTATTTTTATTACCACACAAAAAAATGATCTGATTACTCGATTAACAAAATAATCATTAGTGATAGCCCGGTTTCAAGAAACGCTGGCGTTATCTTTGTCAATAACCTCATTGCATAACTGGCTACTCTGCTATCTCAGACGCGGCCACCGTAACTTCTGTTAGTTGCAATTCAGAACCTCACCACTAGATGCAGCTAAAAATTACACAGTGCACCTTTAAATACATTCATTTTTTTTAATAATAAAGTTCACTTCTCTCTCTAGGTTTATGACGGACGCAGCACGGCGGGAGCATGAATCTCTGAAGAAGAAAGTTCAGCCAAAGCTGTCACTCTCACTGACCGGCAGCCTTTCACGCAATAGCGTAGCCACGCCCCCCCGCCACAACAGCGGTAACCTCACCCCACCCGTGACCCCTCCCATCACGCCCTCATCTTCATTCAGGAGTAGCACCCCCACAGGTAGTCCCATCAAACACATGACACACGCACACATTATCTGTAACGGCTTTTTATGTGCTCTGTTTGGTGAATGCCTATTATGTTTCCTAGACAGATGAATTTTGGGTAATAACTGCATTAAACCTGCCATGCTTGTTTGATGTTCTCTTGTAATAGATAATAAAATAATCACAATCTGAGTCGCACACTGTTTTTTTTTTCATAGCTGCTGTTTCCCATGGCCTTCTCTGGAGCAACATGTGCTCTCTCTCCCACAATTAGATGTTTTGGGCATTTTATTTGTGTGGGTTTGGAACACAAACTGAATAGTCTCCAAATTACTGGTATCATACTATTACTGTGTGTTAACCTTCTTAGACCTTCTTATGCTTTCCAGAATCTTTCTCATAAAATGCAAATGCTTTGCTGGCTGGGCACAGTATTCTGATGAGGACTGTGAGAAAGATTACTGTACCAGTTTACCCTTAAAAAAAATGAAATCACATGTTTACTGGCACAAGGGCGGGACAACCTGTCACTCGCATGAGAACACGGCAATAGCAAAGCACAACCATCCATTCAATTCTTGATGGATAAAATATTTAGTTTTTCTTCCTTTTCACTCTGATATACGTCACAATATGGAAGATGAGACCATTTCTGTTTCATGCCGACTTTAAAGTTTTTGTATTCGCGCTGTGGTGGCTGATGGGAAATGCTGTTTTCTGGTTCTGGTGGTGCAGTGGTTAAAAATGTGGCCTGATAAGTTTTGAAGCATTGACTGTTCCATAACATGATCAATTACTAAATGATTCCTTGCTATGTGCTCTCAGGCAGCGAGTACGATGAGGAGGAAGCAGAATACGACGAGTCCGACAGTGACGAGTCATGGACCACCGAAAGTGCCATTAGCTCTGAATCTATCCTCAGTTCCATGTGCATGAATGGCGGTGATGAGAAACCCTTCGCATGTCCCGTGCCTGGATGCAAAAAGAGATACAAGGTAAAAGGACTTCAAATACATAGGTTCAAGTGAATGATCTTTAAGACTAGAGAAATCCTGAAAACTGATAGCCTGACTTCGTCATACTCATATTCAAGAGAGAATATGAGTCTGAAACTCCTCCATTGGGCTTTGATTATGAGGCGTGTTGTAACCGAACCAGGAAAAAAAAAAAACCTCTGCACTTAAGTCGGTAGACCTACAACCAATCAGAGCAACGCAGTAAGTCAACTCCTTTGCATAGCGCAGTTTTCAAATACAGAACGTAGCCTAACTTTATTTATTTTAGAAGTTAAATAACGAGTTTTACTTCTTTTACTTACTTCTCCATGAGTGCCACCAAAGGAGAAACCACAACGACCACAGGCTTTTCATTACGTCCCATCTTCTTAACGCCAGCTGATAAGTTACACTTTTCCCGAATCATGTAGGAAGGACGCCAAAAATATCTTTCCGATCGACAAATGCCTTGATTGGAGTTTTCTGTTTGTCTATTGAAATGAATGCGCTGTCGATTTATTTTACAACAGACTTGACTGCGGAATCTATACATCTCAATTCTCCAGCTGCAGTCATCTCTGAGGGAAATCAGTTAAGCGCTCTTTGATAACGTGATGATTACATCCCTGCAGATCATCTGTCCATCATCGTATAAAGCCCGCCCTGGCAATTTGATTGGCCCGTTCATTTCTTGCCTGATCATAATTTCTCCTCAATGGATCGAGTCCAGATCGAACTTCCCGACCAAAAAATATTGTGGGCGGGGTTCGGGCTGGCATCCAGGCTAGAAAACTGATACAAAAAAAAAAACGTATTGTTCAGGACATTTGTCAGGGTTTTGTTCTTAAAACACTCTTGTGTGTAGGACTTATTTCTTATGCATCTCATCCCAAGCCTCCATTGCTAATCCCAAAATGTCATTTTAGAGCTAGAAACTGAGGTTTAGCCTCTGATAGCAGACTAGAGAGAGATTAAGCGTGTGTGAATTACCTGAGCCTGTGCATGTCGCAACAGTGTTTAACATCAGCATCTCTTCTAATAGTTTACTTGTAAGTTTATCTGCTCCAAGAATACCGCCGTTATTACCTTGCTAGTGAGAAATGTCATGTAGCTTTTACGTTGCTAAACTATTTTATCGATTAAAATCATCAGAGTAGCGCTGACAACACGTTTCTGTTTCCGTGACCGTAATGTATGTGTGTGCATTTGAGTGGGAGAGAGAGCCGGAGAAAGAGAATATGTGCTTTCCGCGCATAATAAAATGTTATTATGTGGCAAAAAAAACATGGAAATAATTTTGTCGTTTTTATCCTATTGTTTACTGTATTTATTTGCTAGGTCTGTGTCATTGTGGGCTGTTGTAGGCCTTTGAAATAAATGAAATCATTTGGCGAAGTGATATGGAAGTGTAATGCGGTCAAAACATGCGTGGAACTACTTTAGCCATGTTTCCCTGAAATAATTGCAGACCTTAGACTTAGAGCGTTTGTCAACCAATCAGATTCAAGATATATATATATATATGAAGATAAATGTATTGCCACCATTATTTAAACAAGTTTATTGAGGTTTTCATTCTCTAAAAAGCAAGTTTACAGCACACATGTGTCCATTAACAATACCGATCACAAGTGGCACAAATGTGATCAAACAGTGAATGTTGGCCTCTCATTGTTTAGCCGTCAAAGAATTTATTAACACTAAGAGCTGTAATGTGGGCAAGACTGGTAGCTTGACATACATTTTAAAGACATACATGCAGTCCACTGCAAGGCCTGTGTGTTTTATGAGATTTTCCACTGCCATCTGGTTCTGGCTGCTGAGATAAATGATGTACAGCCTGCGAGAGCTGCATTCAGGCCGAGGAAACGCATGATGACAGCCTGTTCAGATGTGGCTTTATTCGGGTTCTGTCAAACAGCTGACGCTTTCATGATTTCACACAACACTGGATGGTTTATATGTCTGGAATTATTAAAGGGCATTTTTAGTCACGCGTCATTTTGTTGATAATTATATGTTTTAATATCAATACAGAATTGAAAACTGGTGATAATTGAATTGGATGTTTGCTCCGTTCCAGATAGGGACTGACAGAATTGTTCATGAAAACGGCACAGAGAGCACATTTGCTGCTTACAGTCCCTAACTGAGTTTGCCTTGGACCTCAAAATCATTCCATTGGCTGAAAGAACTTTTGATGGATACGCTTTTCCTTTCCTGATTAGAAATCCTACATGCTGCTAACCAATTAGCTTGCTAGCTTAGCCTAAACCCAGCTACGCTAATGTTCAATTATATGTTTTTATACACTGCACTTTAGAGGTAGACCGATTAATCGTCGGTCGATTAATCGGACGATTTTTGGCATTTTTTAACATAACCCGCATCGGCCAATATCCAAGTATACACTGGCCAAACAGTGTAAAGTGTGACTGTATTTCACTGTGGACTAAAAGGTCCAACAGCGGGATGCCGTTGTCTGAAGAACAACTGACAGATGGTGCGTGGTGGTGCATTTAAAGTTTTTGTAAAATATAATTTTCCCATCTGGTGTTTGTTTTTGTCGTTCAACAGCAATTTACTTGTGAAATACGTTATTGTTAGAAGTTAAATAAAATAAAATACAATAAATCTTATATATAAAAAATGTAATCATTTAAAGTTACATTTTTTTGTCCTTTTTGTGATATTTAGGTTATGTCCATTTGTCTTTGTCCGTCAACAAACAAAACAAACGAAAAATACATGTTTCAGGACATTTTTTTGAGAGGATAAAATGTTTTTGTTGAGAAAGTTTGTCTATGTTAAGTAATTATCATTTCTTTTACATTTTATCTTTCAAATAGAGGTTAAAAACCAAGCAAATATCGGCCAAAGTAAATCGGCAGCATTAATCGGCCATCAGCCGACCCGGATTTCAAAAAATCGGCATCGGCATCGGTGTGGAAAAAAACCATATCGGTCGACCTCTACTACAATTTGGAACTAGATTTGTTCAATGTTTTTGAAAAGAAGTCAATACAGTAAATTACAATAAAAAACATTAATATTGTGTAATAATTTAGAACCACTACCATCTATTTTAATTAGTGCTGTCAAATCGGTTAATTACGATTAATGACTTAAAGTTTGTATATGTGTGTCTGTGTCCATGTGTATATAATGTATGTACAAACACACACACACAATTTTATGTTAGATGTGATTTAACAGTTTTTTCAGTATTAATTGTAATATATTTTAACATGTTTTTTTTTCCTGTGATGGCAAAGCTATATTTTCACGTCAGTGTCACATGATCCTTCAGAAATCATTCTAATATGCTGATTTGGTGCTCAGGAAATATTTATCATCATCAATGTTGTGCCTGATACCTTTTTTCTGTATTCATTGGCGAATAGAAAGTTTAAAAAACTTAGAAATCCTTTGTAACATTGTCTTTACTATCACTTATTTTATTAGAGATCAAACCTGTGATTGGTAGTGTTTCTATTATAGATACAGTTTTGTGGGTCAATCAAAACGCATCAGTGAATTGTTGAATTTTTCCTGTCGTCAATTATGGTGACTATCTGCTGTGGATAGTGGATGATTGTCTGTTTTGTGCTTTTCTCTTTTGCAGAATGTGAATGGTATCAAGTACCACGCCAAGAACGGCCACCGCACTCAAATCCGCGTTCGCAAGCCCTTTAAGTGCCGGTGTGGTAAAAGTTACAAAAGCTCTCAGGGGCTTCGACACCACACCATCAACTTCCACCCACCCGTCTCTGCCGACATCATCCGCAAGATGCAGCAGTAAAGAGTGCCAACATCACACACAGAACCAATCCAAATCCATACGCACCAGCAGCCGTGGCTGTCCGTTAACTTCCATCCGTCTCGTCCCCAGAGTTGTGGAGGACATCCCAAAAAGATTTGTCTCGAGGACTTTTTTGTCTGTATTTTTTTTTCAAGCCTTTTCCCCTGTTTATTCCACTCCTCATGAGGAGGAAACTTTCATCTTTTTATATTCCTCTTCCTCAGGGAAGACTCCCTGTATCATTCCCAACCTCCGTGAGGAGGATTTGATCCAACCAATCCTTCAAAACACTACACTCTGAATTGCATGCTTTACTTTTTTGTTCATTTTGTATTATTTCTATTGCTTCTTTGTATCTTCAGTTTTGTATTTTTGCACATTCGCTATTATTTTTTATGCAAGGTGCTTATGATATGTTTGGAAAGGAGACGAGGAGACGGAAGACAAGGATTTGACGTGACGTCTGTGACTTGAACCCGTGAGATAGGAAACCCTCGAAAAGTCTGAATGTTTGTAATGTAACGATATCTACCCCTATATAAGCAACATTCATAGCTACAGATTGTGTATATACTATATTCTATAAGTGTTCATAGTCAGATCTAGATTCTATACTTTATTTCCTAAGTTTGATTTTGATTTTGTATATTTCCATCCGAACTTCAGAGATGGATTGATTATGGATGTGCAGTTGTTTTTTTTCGGTTAATCTCAGAAAAGCACCAAATGACTCTCAGGTGACAAATCACCAGCATTTCACAACCATAATCCTGCCCGACTTCTTCTCCGATAGTATTTTAGAGTAAGCTGTTACACGCTTCCCGGGTCCGCTGTGGCCGGAGTGTTCTAGAGCGTTCTGGAACTCCACAGTGATCTTTAGGAGATCTGGTGAAGAACATAAAGCACTTTGTAGTGACCAGTTGCCAACTTGTTTAGGGCATTTTGTATTGCCAAGAAGTCTGATGCTGCAGAATGTTGCCTGCAAATCAGCTGCGAAATTCAAAGGACTGATGTGGCACTTTGGAGGTTTCTGCTTCTAAGGTTTTTCTTCTTTTTCTTTCTAGCTAAGGGAATCCATTCTTTTGCTATACCTCCAGTGTGCTTGTTAGTTGTGAGATTATTGAAACTGGTTGCCTTGAATTGTGGTACACCACAGCATTCCAGTACAGTATATGTGTAGCCAAGTGATTCAGATTGTCCGTCGACCCTGATTCTGGCTCGTCTCTGGTGTTGTCCGTGTGACCTTTCATTGGGAAGATGTATAGTTAGTTACAGCCAACCCAAAGATTCTCGAACCTTGAATCGGAAAGGTTCTTTTGGACTTCACAGCGATCACAGCCAGATCAGGGCCTGCCAATCACTCATTATGACATCACTGCATGTACGTTAATGTTGTTGGAATTGCAGTGTCGGTTTAGATGCAACTTTGTAACAGTATTACACTGCCAGTATAGAGGGAAGTATTTGATATATTGTGTACTTAATGTATTGTCTCATTGTGAGTGATTTAAATTATATTTTCTTAAGTTTCTGGACAACAATATTCCTACATGTAATGAAGTCAGACACCAGTGGTTGTTTTGGAACTGGTGGCATTTTCTGCAACAAAAAAAAAAAAAAAAAAAAAAAAAAAAAAAGAAGCTGCTTCGTAAATGTAAACCTGGTTACATTTTAAATATTAAAATGGCCTTTGATCTGTTTAATGAATTTTCTTTGTCATTTATTCCCACTTGGAAATATCAGGCTTAAAATGTGGATTTAATAATAAATATGTTTTTTTATTACTGATAATCCTCAAAATCAAGTTTGACAATGCGGTTTTGTGAGCCAAGGTAAATATTTTAAATGATAACTCGACATGACCAGAATAAATATTGCTTCAGTAAATCTTTATTAGTTCAGATCAAGTATGTAAGACACACTCGCACAGTAAGAGAACTAAAGAAATGGAACAACAACAAAAAAGAGGTTTGTGATTTCATTGCAGAGGAAATGTGAGCATGCAACTCAATTAAAATAAGTGATTTAAATAGATAAAGGAAAAACGCTAACTCAAATAATGTGATTATCAAGGTCGATCTTTAAAAGCTTATTCTAAAATAATTTTATAATATAGAATCACCCTTTTAGCTGGTCACATATATGCCCTGACAGAAAAAGCTGTGCTCTGCCTTGCACAGAGTATAGTTATAGTAGGCGATACCCGACTTACACTATTGAACCTGGGGACGGTTCGCAACAGAATGCTATATTATGACATTTGCTCAGTGTTCTTAAAGTATTCTTCACCACCTGCCCTGCCAACTTGATAGAGGCGTTAAAGTGAGCTACAACAAACAGTGCAGTCCTATAGACAAAATTAATCCCCAACTAAAATGGACACAAATAAAACGCCACCCATTCATTTGGAATTGATTAAAAGTATCCAACCTTGACTGTGTTTAAATAAAGAATCAGTTCTCTACAGATGAATGCTCAAAGCTAAACATGCTGTTTAAAGTGGCTGTTAACTGCAACACAAATATGAATGTGAAGTGGAGGCAAGTACTGTTTCCCCGATTAGAAGTTGAGCACGTTACTGTCGAAGTGGGTGAGGACGTGCTTCTCGAAGAGCTGCTGGTCGCAGTCGAGAGGGAACTGTTCGCTGCACATGGGGCAGATCTTCCAGTGGCTCTCCACGTGCTCCTCAAACTTCGACTGGTCGTAATGAGGAGGGAAGATGACTTCACACAGCGGACAGCGCTTCTGCTCCCCACTGCAAGAGAGAGAAATAACATCAAACTGGGTGAACGCAGGCTGATAAAAACACAAAACAAAAGACTTGTAACACAAATTGTGAAGAAGTTGGTGCTGGACCAACAGGAGAGTAAACGGCAGTAAAACCACATCTGTGTGAAGGCGATGTGGGTGGGCCGTTGAGCTAACGCACATTCACACCACAACCAAAGCTCAACCACATGATAGGTAACAGCCGTGAGGTTTGTGTGTTTGTTCTTTACCTGGGTTCAAAGCAGAACGGTATCTGTCCATCATTGAGGAATTCTGCGGGGTCAGTGGCTGTAGGCTGATCATTAGTTGCCTGGGGAGAGAAGAAAAACATTTCCTGTCAGCAAAAGCAGGAGTCGTAAACCACCTAAAAACCTTTATTAGACAATCCACTGCGAATGATTAATATTGCGAGGAATCTTGTTGGTCTCTATACATATGCAATTACGTTGGAGGAAATTGTAGTGTATAAGTTAAAGGGTTAGTTCACTCAAAAATGAAAATTCTTTAATTACTCACCCCCATGCTGTACCAACCCCGTAAGACCTTCGTTCGTCTTCGGAACACAAGTGAAGATATTTTTGATTAAATTTGAGAGCTGTATCACTACCACATAGGCTTCCTAAGGGAAACTTGACGGCCCAGAAAGTCATAGAAGAAAATGTTTAATTACGAGAATACTTTTTGTGCGAAAAACAAAACAAAAATAACGACTTTATTCGACTATTCCTTTTCTTCCTTCTGAGAGCTCAAGAGATTTCCACGACGCATGCGTGAAAACCAAACAAGAAGTAGTAGAAAAATAACGAAGTTCTTACGCACCTCTCAAATTTAGTCAAAAATATCTTCATTTGTGTTCCGAAGATGAACGAAGGTCTTACGGGGTTGGTACAGCATGGGGGTGAGTTATTAATAACTTAATTTTCATTTTCGGGTGAACTAACCCTTTAATGGACTGGATGCGTTTCCTAAAAGCATCGTTAGCCAAATATGGTGGCAAGTTCTATCGTTACAGCATAATTTTGTGTGTATTTGGCCATAGAAGCTGCGGAAGAGAACTGTATTCGGGACCGCGTGCTGTCCGAGAGGCAGTGTTATTAACGACAGCTTTCTGTGCGCAAGAATACAGCATTGAGTTCTTTTCTGCGGCTTATTGTGCATTAAGCATGTGTATGTCAAAGTCATGTGTCCAGTCAATTCTCTGCTACCTGCGTTGTAGTGAAACTTTGACTTTTCTTAACTTTCGTAGGCATATTTAAAATTATTCCGAAATCGCAAGTCATTTAAGGCCATTGCTTTCGTAGGCCTATTTCGTATTTGTGATTCAGTGGCTCTGAATTGTCAAAACACCATTCAAACTGCTTGCTACGGATGCAAAAAACGCAAAAAAAAAAAAAAAAAAAAACGAACCCGATTAGATTTTTTTTATGAAAGACGAAAGTTTCGGAGGCAGTGTGCAAGCGTGATTGACATAACGTGAGGTCTTATTTATTTTTAACGTACGAAAATTTCGGACTCAATGTGCAATGGCCTTTACACTTGCACTATTTCAATAATTTTGATATATCGTGCAGCCCTACTTCTTATAAAATAGTGCAAAGTATATAAATACATAAAATAATGCAAAATCCTAAGATGCCATAGAAATGACAGGTAAAGCAGCTGGCTGAATGAACCACTTGCATACAGGAGTAAAGTCTCTGCAAATGATATACTGCTTGTTAATGTGATTGTTTTATTTTAATTAATGGCTTTCTTTGTTGGTCTAAATAAAAAAAATAATCATGAATTGCGATCAAGAATCAATTAATTAGCAGATGTTATTACTCCACCGCCTACATGTGACATCATTGTGGTATGACCATGTCACTACAGTTTTGGGAAATAGTCATGACTCGCTAGTTGATTTCTCAGACAATGCATCATACTATGTGGTTCACCAGCGAGTTGTGTCATTGAGTAGGAAACACACCCCTGAGCAGAATCACATAAATATTGAACACTTTACTCAGGATTTAAAGCTGCAGTCCGTAACTTTTGGCGCATAAGCGGTTAATAAACACTAAGTTAAGAACTGCATGCATCTTGTGGAAGAACACTGTAGCCTGATACTTCTCTCTGTTTATGTCTATGACGAGTCACGTAGGTGCTGGGATATGTGCAGTGGTACCACCCAAACCAGTCTAAAATAGTCTGAATATAAACACTTAGTGATTCAGGATAAGACAAAAACAAGATCTGGACTGCAGCCTTAAGGAATGGAATATATACTGTATGCAGAAGAAAGTAAGTCATACAGGCTTGGTAATGGTGACAATTTTAATTTTTGGGTGAACTATCCATTTAAAAAAAGTATGCTTTGTGTTTGTGTTTAAAATGGTTTGTGAACATTTTTAATACTTTCGTATATTTCAGTCACATCAAACTTGGTGTGAAAAGGCCTCAAGTCAGTTTAGATGAAAAGTGACTGTTTTACAGTAACTGACTGAAGCTCTTCCATGTTTAGTTGGGTATATCCACCATTATCCAAGCAAGGCTAATGAGCTCAATTTGTTGCAAGGTTGAGCACTTCCTTAATGGGTCTGCTCTGGGTTACCAGGGCTTTAATAATGTCAGGTTAGCTAAGCCCTGCCAGAGGCCAGCGCAGTGGGGAGAGAAGTGCAGATAAAAGAAAGACTTGGGAGATTTGGGAAGAATTTAAACCCATCCGCAGTTCTGACTTGATTAAAATCTTAATCCCGCCTCTATATCACTTCTAACGGCTGAAAGTGGAGGAAGCGCTAATGAACTCACAGTAGTCTGCGGCTCCTCTGGTTCCTCCAGTCCATCAGGGCGACTGAGGTTACGGGCGGGCTGTATGCACACCACATTGCTGTCCCAGGATGGGGGCCCAACTGGGGGCAGTCGGGGCATCTGGTCATCAGAGAACTCTCCATCGGCTCCATCTGTCAGGAAAGGAAGCGTTTTAATGCCTTAATATCTAGATTTATACCTCGAGAAAACCCCCTAGCTCGAACAAATACAGTATAAGCATGAACAGTGGCCATAAACAGTATTTAAAGCCTTAGGTCACGCATGTTTTACAGTCATCATTATATCCAATGCAAAATTTCAAAGCAAATGGCATTTATTTTTTTGAAAAATAATACACAGCAATTATGTGTCAGTGTCATTAAAAATTTTATTTAAAACAATAGAGTGCAACCAGTTCATGCCCCCTTTTTAAGCGGCGCTGGTTCCGGAAGTACTTTTTCCATTCATTTCTTCCATAGGGATTTTTGTCAAAGAGATATAAGCCATGAACCAAGCCAATCGGCTACGGGGTGAATCACAACAATAGAAACTTTGATTTGAAGCAAAAAAGGTTTTGAAAATCAGACAAAAAGACAAAGGTGCAAGAATGTGTACTTAACGGTTTTAGTAAGGGAAAGAACTACAATCCCATGAAGCCTTGCAAAAACCATAATCAAACTAAAAACGATGGAGAAATATAAAACTACTGTATAATGTATAAAAACAATATATTATAAGTTTATTGCAAAATTTGGGCGCACATATATATATATATATGTATATAGGGAGATCGACTCGATTAGGTCATTCGCAGTGCTTCATGGGAGTGGGCGGAGCTAAAGAGCTATTTAGAAGCATGTTGATTTTTTCGAGTCTCTGATTGGTGTCATTTTCTTTACAGTATCATTGGTAATGTAGAAGAAGCAAATACCATAGATTAGCAACCTCGTACCTCATAGTAGGTCTGTCTATTATCAATTTCTTTATGGAAATTATGGAGAACCCAACAGTTGCACTCTATTAAACGATTAAGATTAGTGGCCAAATATATGCCGTAAGGTGTGGTCATATTAGTGAAATTTTGGTGCGATATCTCAGGCAAATTAACCTCCATTGTCTACAGTCAGCCATAGTGTAGTGATATAAAGTTCAGCAATATTAAAGTCACTTTCAAACAAGGCAGATTCATATTGGTCAACGCTGCAAATCCACATGACAAAATCTGCACGGGGAAATCTTTCGCTCTCATGCAGAATTGAAAATCTTGCAACCATGCTTACGTTCTATAGTGCGCTCACTGGTGTGTCTTCCTTCATTTATACATTTTATCCCTTATTTAAAGTAAACAAATGATGAGATAGTATCTTATATACCCCTTGAATCAGTAGGAGAGTATGGGTTCCCAAACATCAGATCAGTCGGACGCTGGGGCACCAGCAGAGGAGATGGGTCGTCTAGAGGGTACGGCATCGGGTACTGCAAGAAAACCGACTGCACGTCCAGACTGCCATCTTTCTTTCCGTGTTCTTCTTCCCTGCTCACACTCCTTTGCAACTCCTGAAGGGACACAGGAAACACCACGGCTGTTACATTTTCGCTGGCTTCAAAAACAATGACTGAAATCAGTAGCTAATTCCCTGATCCACACATTCCAATTGAAACTTTAATGCAAATTAAAATTAAACTGGGTGAAATTGGCCTAAAAGGGACAAAACTGAAAGCAAAGTCTAATTTGAGGGCAGGCATGATGTATTGACAATAATTGAGAGTCAGGTCCCATTTTTCCATCCTTCCCTCTATCTTTGAGTCCAGACAATACATCACTCACCACAGTGAGCAGCGGCAGTGGCGTAGAGAAACTCGCCACCCTCACACAAACAGTTTAATTAGGCCCTTCATTAAAACTCCTCTGCCTGTTCAAAGGGAGGCAGAGCGCTGCCTTTTATTGAAGTCTTCGACAGGCGCCAATTTCATTTAGTCTGAACCTCAAATTGGGCCATTTTGCTTCTCGAACGTCGAGTTTTGTGTTATACCTCGACTACGCGTCCCTCTCTGTGGTCCGGGGTAATTGAATGGAAAATAAGGACTCACTTGCACTGCTGGCCCAATTAGAGAGATATGTTAAACCCAAACCAGATCCTGAGAATAAAACAACAAGCAAGCAAAACAACTGCATTTTTAGATTGGCAGAGGCCTCCAGAAAATGAAAACAAAAGCACGCACCCCCTCCAGTTTCTCTTTTTCTTTGGTCAACGCAAAAAGACTGTCCTTCAGCTCCCTGAGTTCTCGGCCCTTCTCTGCCACCTGGCTCTGGAATGAGAAAAGGATATCATTTTTGAGATTAATTTGCTAAAAGAGTGACGAGTCTTTTTTTTATGGATTTCAGTATTTATTATAAATGATGTATCCATGCAAATCATTGTTTTTTAAAAAAAATCATGTGCTCTCATAATCCTTAAAGGGCATATTGCAGGTTAGAGGACCCAACGAGTCAATGCATAGAAAAACAATGTAGGAACTAGATTTTCTTTAAAATATACGTATAAACACGCCACAGAAGCTTCTGCAGTCGTTTTTGTGAGAAAATTTTACTTCCGCGTCTGAAAATGGGCGTGGCGGGCGTGACGCAATGAGCGGGAGAGCGGTCGATTCACACAACAGGAAAACAATGAATCGCAATGACATTTCGGACGCTGAGGAAATACTCGTATGACGGATCAAGCCTATGAGCCTGCTAATGAGCCTGCCATCAAGTTATGAGCCTGCTATGCTAAAGAGATCAGGGACAGGCCAGGATAATGTCAGACAGAATGGTCAGAGAAAAATTGAGCTGTGATGTGAGGAGAACCAGTGGAGAACAGGACAGGTGCCTTTTAGGTGAGAGACGTACTTATAGTATACACGTTCGCTAACGATATACACTGTGCTCACAATATTGTACAGATTATTATGATCCTATAACAGGCCAGCAGACATTAGTATGTTTAGGGTAGATTTATATACTATTAAATGTATAAAAACTTTACTTGAGTATATTCTATACTAAAAGCATAGGCTATACTCGGGTAAATTTTTAATACATATTTTTCACCTTGGTTATAACATAAACAGAACATTAAAGGTTTGAGTATTTAAACAACCAATTTTGTTTTTCAATTACAAGTTTTATTTAGGGCATGGCATGACTAAGTTACCTATATAACACTATCTGATGCCATTGGTAGTATACGACGATCAATATTCTTGCTTCGGCATACCATGTTGAACTCCATCATATTGCCGGGATGCTAATCATTTGATCTGAAGTGAACGCTACACACGACCGTGTTTTCCAAGCCGAGAGGAGAAATCCCGTCTCTTCACCTGCTCAAACCGCACCAGGAACGAAAGATAGGCTATATAGCACAGTCACTTTTATTGTAATGGAAACTTGTGGACTCGATCTTGAAGTCCTGACAGGCTGGAGTTTTTGCAATCTCCACAAACACAATATTTACCATGACGATGATAAATTAAAATGCAAAAACTAACGAAAGCACACTGACTGACGAGCGCTCTCACTGAACACCAGCCTGCTCTCACTGAGCCGAGGCTGCGACCTCCGTGAAGTTGGCACCCCATAAAACGAAATAATCTCCAAAACTATGCCAATGGTTTGTGCTGTATTTGTGCTGATTTGTGCCGTAAAAACGAACATTTGTGCTGGTTTGGAGTTTGAGATATTGATGATTATTTTTTTGGTTGTGTTACGTCACTCTCCACCCCATATCGTTCAAATCGCTCCAAACCAGTGTCATTCGTTTGTGCTCTGTTTGTGCCGTTAAAACAAACATTGTATCCATTTTCCTTTCGCAGATATAGCAAATTTAATTCGGGAGCTGTGACGTCATTCTCCACCCCATTTCTTCTGAATCGCACACAAAATGTGTCTTTCGTTTGTGCTTGGTTTGTGCTGATTTGTGCCGTTAAAATTAACATGGTATCTATATCCCCTCCTTTAGAAATATCAAATATAATTCGGGGCAGTGACGTCACTCTCCACCCCACCTCGTCTAAATCGCACCAAACCGGTGTCGTTTGTTTGTGCTCGATTTGTGCCGGTTTGTGCCATTGAAAGAAACATTGCAACTACGATCCCCTCTTAAACATATTTAAAAAAAAAAACTTTTTAAGCAGTTACATAACTCTCCACCCCATTTGTTCTAAATCGTTGCAAAACTGTGACGTTTGTTTGTGCTCAATTTGTGCCGGTTTGTGCCGTTACGATGAACATTGTGTATTTTTCCCCTCCTTAGAAATAAAACATTGGATTCGGGACAGTGACGTCACTCTCCACCCCACCTCGTCTAAATCGCCCCAAAACGGTGCCTTTTGTTTGTGCTCGATTTGTGCTGTTTTGTGCCGTAGAAAGAACCATAATAAATTATACAATTCTTCAGATATCCCAAAATCTTTGGAGGAGTACTGATGAGTGACGTCACGAAAGCAAGCCGCGCTCTCCATCTCGTCTACAAACCTGTCTGGTGCGTTTGTGCTCGCACAGGGCCGCGGCTGCTGTCATTGTTCCTTTCTTCCTCTTTAGATACGGAGACTTCGTCAAGCTCAAGATAAAAAAAAAAACGGTATGTGATTGAGTGACCCGAATCACTTAAAAATGCACGTGTGTCAGTTTTTTTAAAACTTTGTAATAATAATCTCCTTTGTTAGCCTATTATGTTTTTTTTATTCAAATCGAGCATTATTTATCAGATGAAAGTTTAGGCTAGTTTTATACGTGTAGGCTATTATCTTGGCCATATCTAGGCCTCGGCCTATATTGAATATGATAAAATTATCAGAGAATTGTATCATTCTCTGAAGGAGAACGTGAACCAAAGACATGTGAGCAGTGTTTCTGTTTGTTTAAAATGTTTTTAAAGCAACTAATCGAAGGGCTGTTACTTGTTAGTTTGCTGTTCTTAGCTGGTTTAACATCTTCCCAGTCATTTCACCGCACTAAACAAAGAAAGACGAGATTGTATTCATTGTGTGGGTGAAGAGTATTCATTTAATACCAGCAAACCACCTGGTTAAAGTTTCTCATTCTCATTCTCTCTCAGCTGAGCAGACAACATATCCAAACTGGTTTCCTTTTAAATGCAAAGATGAATGTAAAAATAACAGAGCGGTTTCTGTGAAGAATTTACAAATATTTTTTTTAATGAACCATAAAATAAGAGAACTACAAAACTGTTTTCAAGAGAAGTGTTAAAATGAATAGATCTGGGTACAAATAACAGAACAGAACATTTACTAAAGAAATATATAACTTCTGTTCAAGAAATCATGGAACTGTTAAAACAGGAATAATGTGAATATAGATAATGTAGATTAAATAGAAAAACAATATAGACCATTCTCTTATTGATTATGAACTAATTTCTGCAGAGACCAGTCCAAGAAATTGTCCATTTATCAATGGTTTTAGTCCTCCTTTGTGAACAACATCACATGGGGTTGTATTTTGGTTTTTGCTGAGACTGTTTTTACATGGTCACACAGGTCATCATATTTCTCCCAGGCAAAAGAGTTTCTCCTACAGTAAGCCACGTAATGTCCAAGAGATTTCCTGGTTGGTCCTGGAATGAATGCAACAACCCCTCGCAAAGTGAACCGCTGATTGTCTAGCTCCATGTCGACAGGGATTTCAGACAGTGGATGGTTAGTATCACTTGTTTCAATGCACAGTAGTTGTCCAGGTATGCATCTGTGTGTGACAGAGCCATTGCAGAGGAATTTCATTGATTGATCATCATTAATTTTCCAGCTATCTGGACACTCTTGGGGGGATTTCAGTGGCTTCAGACACTTGGACCTGTTGAGATGTAGCCCATCTTCCAGTGCTGCTTGGAGGCTTTTCAGTCCACCAGTTTGTAGAATATCTACATTGACTGGTAGGAGATAGATGGTTCTTGAAGATTTGGTATTTCGGCTGCAGTATGGAGAAGAGCACTCAGCTGTAAGTGTTGCACTTGGCATTTGCTTCATTGTTGATTCAATTATGTTAGCAACATTGCAATCCGCATTGACCTGCCTCACACCTGATTTTAGATGAACACACTGAAATGTATCCAACAGCATTTTTGCCCTCTTTGCGTAAGCATCTTTTCCAACTCCTTTTGTGACTATGGTCTTTACCAAATCAAACATTTCAGATTTTGAGTGCTCTTTGTCGAGATAATGACAGAATGATCCGCTGTCACAGAATGCCGAGCAAAGGCACTGGCAAAAGGAATCAAAGGCACAGGTATTATTTACACTTACAAGCATTTTGTCTACCATGATGGGCTTATTAGCCTGGTAGTTGCCATTTTTCAAGACATGAATTCTTGTATTTTTTCTTTTCAGGTTTATGTCTGCATGCAACCACTCAGAGCAAGGGGTCAGGTAGGACAGTCGCTTTTTTGGAGGAACACCGAGACCTTTCCAGTTTTCAACAGGGTCTTCCTCCACTAATTGTTGCCTAACTTCTGTGTCCTGCTCACTGTGGGCACTTTTTGTCTTCTGATTCTTTGTCTCAATGTGCTCTGTGTTCACCGGTGCAGATGAAATCCTCATGTTTCCCTCAAGAAACTCAAGGTGGCGTATGACAAAACGGTCAAGTCGGATGGGGAGGCTTTCATGTTTGAAAAGGCCATGTTTTATGTTTTTAAATTCAGCCTCAACATTTGCAGAGCTTGCTGTGTTGTGTACGCTTTTGAAGTGTGGAACCATCACAGCTGTCCAAAGGGGTAGGTAGCATGCCATTCTTATCATATTTGGGACAAGCTCTGGAAGGAAATGAAGATTGTCTCTGTCACCATGATGTGCGGCAATCATCTTACTTTCTTCACAGATTTCTGTAACCCATGTTTTCAGATCTGTGGGGAGTGTCTCCTCGACTCCCGTCACCTCTGTTGAATGATCATCTTCAGTGACACATGGCAAGACTCCCTCTGCAAATCGTCTCTTTAATTGTGCTTTGCATGTTTCCGAGGCAACAGGTAAACCTTTGTCATCGTTTCCTTCTGATTCACTGAAGGCAACAACTGCAATGGAATGAATGAGCTCTCTTGCATCTTCCAGTGTATCAGACTGTAAAAGTTGTGCCATGGCTCGTAGATAGAATTCTCTAACTCTGTTTCCTCTTTGTCTTAGGCATTCCCACCGGCTAATGAGCTTGATGCAGTGTGCAACATCTACTCTGATGAAGCAAGGTGGTAGCTTTGAGTCTTCGGGTTTCCTTGCCAGCACTCCAAAGCACTGATTGATGTATGTTTTCAGGTCTGGGTAAGGAGTGAAGGCTTTAACCAGTGCTCCAAGCAAAGCCAAGGAGAAATCACAGACCGCCTCTTTGGGCACAGCAGCACCTGCTCGTTGCCATTCCGTGAGCCAGTTGGCAATAGAATTGATGGTGTGGCTCTCTGATAGCATTTGCACTACTGGAATATGATCTCCCTGTGAACACAAAACTCCTTGATACAGGAAGACATGTCCAGAATTGCCACAGGGTCTTCTCAGTCTTTTCACAACTGTACCTGTTGCATCAAAACTCACAAATGAGCCAGAGTACTTGGATTTCATTTGATACACTTGCATCTGAGATGGGGTCCAATAATGGCAAAAAAACCTGTCAAGGCCTATGTCATGAATGCTTCCGTTGTGGGGTACACTGTATTTTAGTAGATGCAATGACATGATTGGGTCTTTGTCTCCAAGTTCTTTGTCACCCATCTCTTGTTTGGCTTTTCTTAATGTTGCCAGATTTGGCAGGTGGCTAGGCTCTGGGTCACCAACATCCATCATTTTGTAAGCCTCAGCTGCTCGCCATACATGTGCTGGTTTTCGGCCTTCCCAGAGTTCTTTAGAGACACGTGTTCTCAGATCCCCTGATAACTTCCGTTTTGCTTTGCCAGTATGGAGACTTTCATCAACATTACGGATTATGCATTGAAGCACAACTGGTTCATTGTCCACTGGCATGTTCTCTGCTGTTATAGACAATTGTGCGTCACACTCGGTGCAGTTCCCAATTATGTCTATGTAGTGAGATGCATTATTTGGATACATTTTTGCCCTTCTGAATCTAAGAGTGCATGAGGTCTTGATATTTTTCCATATCTCTTCATACAAGACGTGTGTCCATGCACCACGTTTCAGGATGGTGTATTCTCTTTTGTCATTGTAATCAACCTTTTCAGGCCAGATTTCCACCCATCTCTGATGAGAGAGACTGATCTCAAATGTAATGTCGTAGCATTGACTTTTGTCTGCCTTTGACACTGCTGAATGAAAATCTGCTGAGCTTTCTTGTGAGTTGTCACTGTTTGGACCTTGATCTTGGGTATCTGTGTCGATTTTGCTTAGCTCAAGGATTTGCCATATATTGTGCCTATTTGTCTTCACAATAGTATAAAGGTTCTTTGGTGAAACTTTGTTATTTAGTTGTTTGCTTAAATCTGCCCACACCTTTTCTGTGGGAACTGCTATGTTTGTTCCTGTAATAATCTGTTCCTTTGCAGCACTGATGACTTTGATGATGTCATCACGTCCACAGGCTGGTTTCCTAGGCATCTGATCAAAACAGGAATTATGTTTAATGTAGTTTTTAATAAAGTAGTTGGGCCAAATTAACTACCTCGTGTGTGTGTGTGTGTGTATATATATATATATATATATATTACTGTGGTTTGAATAAGCATGTAACCTGTTGGTAACAAGTATGTATGCGTATATATGTATATATATATATATATATATATGAAGAGTTCAGATGCAAAAGCCTCTAAGTGCCATTTGAAATGTTCTCCTAGAATGATCATTTTTATCAAGATTGTATATTTAAGTTCTGTAATTTAACTTAAATGACAATTAATAGGCAATCTTCATTGCAATTTAAGTGAAATTACTGAACTTAAATATACAGGCTTGATAAAAATGATCATTCTAGAAGAAAAGTTCAAATGGCACATAGAGGCTTTTGCATCTGAACTCTTCATATATATATATATATATATATATATATAGGGAGTGACTTAGTCGCCATTCACTTAAACTGTATCTTTTTTTTCAAAATCAGTTCAAGTTAATGATGGCTGAAATAAAAACATATGGGCTATGCAATTTATATGTGTATAGTCCAATTGTTCTGAGGTCATTCAATTAGATTTACCTTAGAACATCTTGTCATCCATCCTATATTGGTCGTGTTTGGATATTGCAACTTTTTTTATAACTAGAGAATCCATCATTCGGTGGCTTTAAAGAACATACAGAATTTTCAATGTTTCAGTAAAAATCTCATCTCAAAGTCATTGTTTTCTGTTACTCTTTAAATCCAATCACATGGATCACCTAGTCAATGAGTTCAGAAAAAGATTTACTTATAATCCTTTGGTGAATTAAATCAACTAAATCATTACAAAAGAGCATGAAAAGACAACACATTCTCCAGTTATATGAAAAGTAGCTGATAACTGAATAACTGAACTTGGCCAGTACAGGATGGGTGACAATCTTTTCTGTGAATTTGTTAGATTTTAGTCTGTTCACATTTGTAAAGTTAATTATATGACTTCACAGAGGATTAAATGGAACAGATGCCACTTGTATATTGCTTTTTGTAATTTCCTCTGCATAACATCAAGCTTTTTGCCATGAAATGTGCATTGCTGTACATATCTTAACTAATAACTTAATGTATTTTATGGCATGGCATAAGAATCTAGGTCTACTCTTATTAATATGACAAATGGAGGATCATTTGGACATGATACATGATAGCTGATGGCCCAAAATTAATAAAAGGTTTCACATCTTTGACGTCTGTCAATTTCTTATTTGTTCAAATTATCCTGTAAATTTTATTGACCAGCACTGATTATTTTAGTACTTTTTTAGTATTTTATCTCAGAGCACATGCTTACCTTTTTCACAGCCAGATGCCTTTTCCTGTTTTGTTTTCCCATGCAGTGCTTAGGGTAAACAAATGTTTTTAAGGGGGCAGAAAGACTTGTGTCTGTAATGAAATGTCTGTAAACTGAAGCCTTTAGTATTCAGAAAACTTAAGACAGTACACAACTTTTTTTATTAATTTTTATTTTTTTTATTGGACAAAATTACAGCATCAGTCACACGTAGGCTTGAGCCAGGGTATTGGGCTACATTAATATTTCATAGTGCATTGGAGATTTTATAAAGACCAAATGTCAATATCTAGCACAAATCTAGACCAAAACATTTCCGTATCTAAAGAGGAAGAAAGGAACAATGACAGCAGCCGCGGCCCTGTGCGAGCACAAACGCACCAGACAGGTTTGTAGACGAGATGGAGAGCGCGGCTTGCTTTCGTGACGTCACTCATCAGTACTCCTCCAAAGATTTTGGGATGTCTGAAGAATTGTATAATTTATTATGGTTCTTTCTACGGCACAAAACAGCACAAATCGAGCACAAACAAAAGGCACCGTTTTGGGGCGATTTAGACGAGGTGGGGTGGAGAGTGACGTCACTGTCCCGAATCCAATGTTTTATTTCTAAGGAGGGGAAAAATACACAATGTTCATCGTAACGGCACAAACCGGCACAAATTGAGCACAAACAAACGTCACAGTTTTGCAACGATTTAGAACAAATGGGGTGGAGAGTTATGTAACTGCTTAAAAAGTTTTTTTTTAAATATGTTTAAGAGGGGATCGTAGTTGCAATGTTTCTTTCAATGGCACAAACCGGCACAAATCGAGCACAAACAAACGACACCGGTTTGGTGCGATTTAGACGAGGTGGGGTGGAGAGTGACGTCACTGCCCCGAATTATATTTGATATTTCTAAAGGAGGGGATATAGATACCATGTTAATTTTAACGGCACAAATCAGCACAAACCAAGCACAAACGAAAGACACATTTTGTGTGCGATTCAGAAGAAATGGGGTGGAGAATGACGTCACAGCTCCCGAATTAAATTTGCTATATCTGCGAAAGGAAAATGGATACAATGTTTGTTTTAACGGCACAAACCAGCACAAACAGAGCACAAACGAATGACACTGGTTTGGAGCGATTTGAACGATATGGGGTGGAGAGTGACGTAACACAACCAAAAAAATAATCATCAATATCTCAAACTCCAAACCAGCACAAATGTTCGTTTTTACGGCACAAATCAGCACAAATACAGCACAAACCATTGGCATAGTTTTGGAGATTATTTCGTTTTATGGGGTGCCAACTTCACGGAGGTGAGGCTGCGGCTCCCTGCTATGACGTCAAATGACGCGACGTTGAAAAAAAAGCCGTTTTTACTAGCAGTCCAAGAAACGCTCACTTTATCTTCTAAATTAGTGTCCTTATGTTGTTTTAAAACATTTTAAATCCTGCATTAACTTTTCATATGGTATTTTCATACAAGGTTATCTATAAATTTCGATTTTTTTTTTACCTGCAATATGCTCTTTAAAGGCCCCCTGACATGAAATTTTCACTTTCTGAGGTTTTTTAACATTAATATTAGTTCCCCTAGCCTGTATTTGGTCCCCTCGTGTCTAGAATTTTAAATCGGTGTAAACCGAGCTTTGGCTATTTTTCTCTTCTCTGCAGCTCGCAGACGTGCTGATCTTGAATCTCCTCGTTATTAGATCATGTCGAGGAAAGGTTACCTCCCCTTTCTCTGCTTTGCCTGCCCGGAGAATTTGGCTCGGCCATGAGAAAAAGAGCTAGGAAGTACGAACGCGTGAGCGCGATTTGAGTTTTTCCTAGAGAAATAGCTTTGAGATTTGAGTTTTTCCTCGAGAGATATCATGTCTTGCAAACGAACAAAGCATGGCAGTTGATCAGTGTTCTGATGTACAAATGAACACAAAAGTATTTTTTAGTTCCTTCATCCGAGCCTCTGAAGAAACAATTGGTTAATTTTATTTTCTCTGGAAATGCGCTGACACAACTTCCCAAAGTTTTGTATGGTCCAAACATTTCACCGACAACTGTTTCCTCAACTTGGGCCAATATAGATCTGGCCTCGATGAACGTCTGAAAATAAATCGATAGAGCTACCAAGCAACAATTTCTGATGTGTAACCTAATTGTTCAAGTTCAGACAGGTAATCTTTCTCTCAAAATCGTTCAATACTGTTTATGCATTAGTAAGTCAAGCCAGTGACTAAAATATCAACTTCACATCATTTCTTTTAGTACAATGAAAATAATCTTATTTAAATTCTGAACAAATTATACAGAAAGTGATCAAAGAACAATCTTTCCACACAGCACGAGTTTATCTGGACAACTCATTATGAAATCGATGACGCACGTTACACTGCACAACGAAGCTCTTACTGTACGTGCGTCATCGTGTCTGCATTGGTGAAAGTATTAGAGAGTGCAGAAACTGTGTTACAATAATAAGATCTTCATTCTCGCGATCAACAAACTGTCTTCTGCTTGCAATGCTCATCACAGAAACATTTTATGTGATGGGAATAGATCTAAATACTTTAAAAACTTCTCACGATTCGTTAATCTCGATAACTGTAATAGTAAAAACCTATAATAGCTGTAGTAAAAGTATTTGAGAAAGTTTCGCATGTAATATGTAGCTATTTCATATGCAAGCATGTCAGCCAATCACAGCAGTGGGCGGTTACACTGAATCCCACAGCAGACACGCCCCTTCAAACAGAGCGTTCAAATCAGAGGCTAAAATCAGGTTAGAAAAAAATGCCTTGTATTTCTAAATTATGACTATTTTTGATCTAAAATCATACTAATATTATAAGAGCGAACCCAGGAAACATTATAAAATAATAAAATAACCCCATGTCAGGGTACCTTTAATTAAAATAGCTTCCCTCCCTCTCCTCTGAAGACGCTTTTCTCTGTCTCTCACAAGACATCACAGCAATTGCAAACCACAATCATCCTATGATCCAATCAATTCCCCATGGACAAAATCAAGCCCCTTCTTACATTTTTCCTTGTTTGAGAAGCTGCTTTACTCAGAGATGCGTCACAATAGGGAAGAAAAGACAACTTTGCAACTTTGACTTCATCCTGACTTTAAATAAAAAAACCCATTACATTTGTGATCCTGCTCCCAATCCAAAAAATTGGTTTGGTTCCACCGACAGTTAAAGGCATGTTTATGGCCTTTCAGATAAGTTTGAGATCTTAAATCCACCAAAAAGGGTTTATTTTGCAAAAACAGCCAATAATTGCTTACTGTTCAATAACAAGATAATTGCACGAGTAAATAAATAAATGAATTTGAATTATACAGTTAGTTTATTGCATAAAACATATTTCTGCCTGACTGACCAAATAGAACAAAGTATTCCAGAGCCATATAACATTTATTCACCAAAAATGTGAGAAATAAAAAATGATAATAAAGGAATGGTCTTGAAAATGCTTTCTGATTGCAACAACATGCATGTAAAAATCTCAACGATACAAGATACTACTCATTAACATCTGTCTTTGCATGGCTCCATATGAGTCACGGAGAGAAAAAGTCAACTTCGCCTGAAGTATACCACTGATCTACACATGACCTTACTTAAACAGAACCGAGTCCCTTGCTCTGTCTCCTGCTGTGTAGGGAGGCAGCCAGCAGATGCATTATCCTTCCTTGATCCCAGG